GGATGTCCCTCCTACAGGCCACACGACTTGCTGCAGACAGACCCCCGTGTCTCCCCGCGACACCCCAGGGTACAAACGGAAGAAAAAAGTAAAGTAAAAGTAAGTAAGTCACACCTTTATCATTCTATTGCTACATCATAGAAACTAGGGTACATTGTCGCCGAGAAAATGGCGTCCAACAAACCTCTGAATGTGTGCTGAAACCAAAGAGCTGTTATTGCGTTCCTTACTGCAGAGGGAGCAGCACCCATTGATATTCCTGGGCGAATGAAGCTTGTCTATGGCGAAGCATGTGTAGATGTAAATTATACTGTTCGAAAATGGGCAAAGGAGTTCGCTGAAACCAGTCCAGCAGAGATAGATTTGCACGACCAAGCTCGTTGTGGTCGACCCAACTCTGCCAGTGATGTTCAACACCAGGAGAGAGTGGGTGAGATCATCCAAGCAAACCGACAGATCAAAGTAAGAGATGTCAGTGAAATTATAGCGATTTCTGTAGGGAGTGCTCAGTATATTATCCATGATGTGTTGGGTTACAGGAAAGTGTGTGCACGTTGGGTTCCCCACATGTTGTCATTCGAGCTGAAATGGAACCGAAGTCAAGTTAGTGATGACCTCCTGGCCCGCTATACTGGTGAAGGTGAAGCTTACTCACGCCGTATAGTCACAGGAGACGAGACTTGGGTACACCATTGTGACACAGAGAACAAAAGACAATCGAAAGAATATAGGCACACTGGCTCACCTAGCCCCAAGAAGTTCAAAGTTGTTTCATTTGCAAAGGAAGTGCTTATGACAGTGTTTTGGGACTGCGATGGTCTGATTCATATGGAATTGTTGGAACAGCGTTCCACTATCAACTGTGAACGATATATTGAAACCCTGAGAAAACTTAGAGCACGGCTGTCACGACTTCGGCCCGGACAAAATGCAATTTTGCACCACAACAAAGCCAGTACACACACGAAACGACAAACTCAAGATGCCACGAAAAGTCTCAGATTTCAAGAGACCTTACCGCGTCAATCATACAGTCCAGACCTTGCTCCATCTGGCTTTAACCTTTTTTTAAGTTGAAGGAGTACCTCAAAGGAAAACGTTATGCAGATGACCATGAAGTTTAAGAAGGCGTGCATGGCTGGTTCAGGGGAAAACCACATGAATTTTTCGACAACGGCATGTGACAACTTATTTCGACGTTGGCGGATCTGCATCGACAAAGAAGGCGACTATGTTGAAAAGTAAAGGCACTGTCTTTTAGCATCAGTAATAAAGAAATTATGAACTTGGAGGCGAAACTTTTCTAACGAACCTCGTACATACATACACATATTATATAATATATATATATATA